CCCCCCCACCGTTATACATGTAATGCCATTCCGACTTACCGCCAGGTTGTGCCTGTGTATGAAAAGGAGCGCCTATAAACATAGTACAGTATAACATGGAAGACTCGAAATCACGCATCTGTCGAACTGTGCCTGCGGTTCCTTTAATTTTTCCTTCTTTATCTTTGTAAGATATCCCTCAAACAACGGATCACTCGAACTACCGAAGCCGGCTCCGACGAATTCGAGTTGTACGATCCTTATCATAAGATTTGCCCCGCCATACAGCCAGTGAACTGACCGCCAAAGGTACACACAGCACTCGGCATACAACACCCACTGGTTGGACATTTGATATAATCTTTATCCTACGAGAAAGACATAGACATAGAGAGACAGAGAAGACTCTCAACTCTGAATACATGTGCATGCACATGTGGGTATCACCAACAAAAAGATGTTATTCCAACACAGATCGCACGGCAAATCGTATTCCTTGATGTTGAGCAGTCGGGGCTATTATACAACAGATGAACCCCGTTGAATCGCCCCCCGCCGCCTGTTCTGCCAACTTCATGCTTGTCCCAAGGGTAGTGGCGGTACTATAACGAGGTTTGACTGTTTATCAATATCATTTGGCCAAATGAGTCCCGGTGCTGTGGAATCTGGCGCTGGTCAAATTTTGGACATGTGAAGTTATTCGTATCATTTTAAAGCTTCTTCTTTTTGTCTTGTCTTCGGAGGAAAAAAATACTCATCAATCACGAATAGAAGTCGAGATATTTGTAATTGAAGGAGGTGGGGATACCCTGGTTTCAGAAGTAGAATTAATTAGAAAATGGCCGCCAAAATTTGGTGACTTCCATAGCTTGAGAGTCCGCAGAAAATGCTACAATCCACACAGACACGAGTTTTTAAATGGACCACAAAGGCGTTGAGTCACAAGACAAAAATTCGGTAAAAATTGCCAAACGGACAGAAAAATGCCAGTTTCTTCGATTTCATTATTTTGACGAGCGCCTGACTTCACCGCGATGCCTCACAAATGTTATGACAACAAACACAGAAAATGAGCGGATACATTCTGAAACTGTTCCACCAACTGCTTTAATCTGTAGAGAGAGTAACCAACGGTATGAATGATATATATAAAATACACACACACAAATTGCAACTGTAAAGAAAATCTTGTCAACAACGAAAAGTAAATAACAGATTACGTGTGTATGCAATTTATTTACACATTTAATAATGAGAATAAATAACCATAAAGCATATCAGACTGCAGACTTGTGTCATGAGGAACAGAAACAACGAACAAAAGGCATGATTAAAAATCTAATAATGCAATCAAATCACAGACATTTAAATCAACTGAAACATGATTTGAACCAAAAGAATCGAAAAAAAACTTTAAAAAAAAAAAGTGAATTCTTATAGAAATCATGAGAATTGAACAGAACATTTCTTCCAAGGGTTATAAATTGTTGGTTCTTAGGGGAAAAAAACAATAACCAAAAACAAAAAGAACACGAGGCAAAACAGAAGATAAAATTCTCCCATTTCTTTTTTGTCAAATAAAACTCAACAACCCAAAAATGGGAAAATGCTTCATTTATCGGACCAAAACATATGTAGTATGCACTTTATATTTCACACCTAATGAATTAACTTTGACTTTGGCTTTAAAGTTCTTATGAATGACAAAAAGGACAGATAGACAAATGGACTGATTGGAGGAATGGAGAGAGGAGAATAGGGATAGACAGATGGCCATAGAAAACGAAAGAGAGACTTAGAGAAAGGGGCAGAGACAACAGTCATTCCATAGTTCTAGACTGGGAAGTAGAAAGAAGAAAGAAAGTAGAAGACGGAGAAACAACATGACTATGATAGTAAATGTTTAACCCTATCCGTACATCGTGTTTTACTTTCGCATCCATACGACGTGGGGAACTCTGTGCTACCACTTTCCAAAGAAAAAATGTACTCGTTAATTCGATCCGTACGCTTTGTATAGCAGTCTGTCAAAATGATTTTTTGAGAAACACTGAAAGTTTCAAAGAGATCTTCGTACTAGGTGTATTCTAAAATGTGAAGAGTACAACCCCAAGGGTACAAAATGACCCCAGAGCATTCGAATAGGGTTAATGACCCCATTGACAATGTTTAGATCATTCAAAAGGCTGGGCTGTTTCGACCCTGCCGACCAGAACCAACTTTGGCTTGGGGCTGGGGGCAGGGCAGGGGGCTATACTGCATTCCAGAGTAAAGATGGAGATAAATAAACAAGACTTCACCGCTTTGGAATTGAACTCGGGTCTTTTGCTTGCTCATGTAAGTAAGTGTATGCCAAATAGGTCGAGAGCCTGAATACTCCACAAAAACGACCCTAGTTCAAGAATGCTTAATCTGGGATTTGAACCAGGGCCATCTGCTCTGTGGTCCAGCATTGGTTATTTAAGACTGGAAGAGGGGACCACAGGCAACAAAAGGTCAACAACTTTTTAGTTTAAGTAAGAGTTTTACTTCACATGCAACACAATTAGGTCATACAACTAATATAAGTGCTGATTATTAGAGGAGTTACTAGACAGAAAAAAAGAAAGAGAAATAAAGACAATAGATATTAGATAGGAAAGAAGGAAAGAAGGATCAAACCTTGCTAACAACACCCACTCTGTCCATCAGGCCCAGTTTTGAGAAGACTAGGCAGTTTTTCCCGTTATCTTCCTGGAATTTGTTTGGATCAAGCACAAACAAGAAAGGATAACATTTTTGGTCCCACATAATTTTGTTAATTGAGACAAACATTTCATCTATGTGCACACCAAACTAAAGACAATTGATTTTGTTTTGTATTTAACAAAAATTAAAACCAAATTCTTATTGAAAGATTGGGCTAGAGTAAATTATCAAAACACATTTTTAATTATTAAGAATTATTTCAATCAAAGGAAATTTCGGAGACAAAAGTTATTAATCATGGTTCAAATTGTCTAAGCTCCTAAAAATCCAAATAAATATTGTATGAAATATATATATATTTATATATATATTTATATATGAGAATATAAACAGAGCATTCAAATCAACAAAGGTAGTAAGTCCTGAAACAAAAGAAATGTTTTCAGTGAAATAAAGGCAGGGTTCTTATAAACTGACAGTCATTGCTAATCAAGTTTAATGCAGTCACGTTTAATGCTTTTCTTTCAACAATTAAAAAACTATCATTATTTCCCGGCCGTCAAATTGATCAAAAGATGGCAACAAATTGGCAGGACAAATTCAATTCTGACATATCGCTCGAGGTATACCTTCGAGAACACCAAAAGTCAAGGTCATACAGCGCCCCCGAGAGACAGAAAGCAAAAACAAATGCTAGAGAAAGACGCCTCGTCTTTAAAGTCATCTCAGTCCATCAGTACCCCTTCCCCCTCCCCCCCAACCTTTCAAAACATTCAATAGAATCAGAAACGCTGAAGTTCTCCACATTCACAAACACATCATGTATTAAGTTTCTACTTTCCCACCAAGGTAACAGGAACAAGAACAGAAACAACCAAACAGAAATAACAAAACGTATGAAAAACTATAACGACTATAATGTGTAAAAACGTATTTCATGATCTCTGTGCCACACACAAATTCAGCTTCTTTAGGCTCTCATTGTGTTTGAAATAAGATTCTGACTTTCCAGAACAGAGCTGATCTAAGAGACAGAAATAATATATTATGTAAATTTTGTTATTGTTACCCTTCCAGGCTCTTATCTTCACAGTTTAGATCATATGTGTCACGACATGGTGGAATCAGGCTCTCGTCAATTTTGGCGTAAGTGGAGTTATTGGTATCATCTTAAAGCCTGTTCATTTGCCTTCCTTTTGGTGAAAAAAAATTGCCACCTATGTCGAATAGGAGGTTAGAGTTGCTTGGTTTCAGAAGTAAAATTTGTGAGAAAATGGCTGCCATTGGAAAGTGACAATTTACATTTTTTGTGCCTTTAATCAATGTTTTTAACAAAGTCCACACAAAAATGAGTTTTTGTTTGTTTTGTTTGTTTTTGTAAAGTGTACCGGCAGATGAAACAAAATCAATTTTTTTTTAAGAGACAAAAAACAAAACAAAAGACCACCAAACCCTTGCTAAAATGAAGTAAGATGACATCAGAAATAGTATCATTCTACACACACACACACACACACATAAATGTTTCTCAAAGCGTATCAAATTTATTTATAACACATTTTTACTTTGTTGGCAAATGCGGTCACCTCAGAAATAATGTCTTCTGCATACAAAAAAATTCCTGCAGACTTAAGTGTAAAAATATGCCGGTAAACTGCACTGATCAAAGTTGCATCCGCATTCCGTAGAAACAAAGAGAAGAACAGAGAGATACCCTTTCAAAAGCAAACACACGACATGCACACGCACACTGTGGTCTGCGAGACATGAGAAAAGAGAATACCCTCAGAGAGGTCGGGTATATCAACTCTTCCAGAACGCTGAGACTACGCACACAAACAAAATGTTTAAACACACAATGCACAATTCCATTCACATTTCAGAGCCTGGAAATACTATGGGTCAGAGACACTGCCAAATGTCTGAAACTTGGTCCACCAAATCATCATAGGATAATTTTAGACAGGTATATTTCAGAAAGGCCATTTTCCATCTGAATGTAAAAAAAGCCATAAAAAAGCAAAAGCGACACAAAGAAAATAATAGGGAAAAAAAAAGGGGGGGGGGGGGGGGGGGGGGGGGGAGGAACCAGATGCATAGCTCTGATGATAGTATTTCCCAGACCTCTCTACCAACATTCTCTCCATCTTCTCCACAGACAAAATACAAACAGAATATTTACCGTGAGGACAAGATAGGTAAAATGGCGAAAAAAAAACCCCACACTAAACACACACCCACACACAAACACACGTTCTGTCTCTCTCTCTCTCTCTCTCTCTTAAATGTTTACTCTCTCTCTCTTTCACACACACACACACACACACACACACATTCTCTCTCTCTCTCTCTTAAATGTTAACTCTCTCTCTCTCTTTCACACACACACACACACACACACACACACACACACACACACACACACACACACACACACACACACACACACACACAAGTAACTGCATATACTCTACGATAGATAATATATAACTCAACAGAAATCAACTATCTGAATACAGGGCTGAATAATAATCATAATTATAAGATATAACACATTGGTTTTCCTGAAGTATACACTAGCCTAGCTCTGTAAGCGTTACTCATGCAAGCGGCTGAAGATACAGAATGACTACACCAGTGAAAGACACTTCAGGACATGACACCATAAATTTTTCCATCAGATAAACTACAAAAGCTTCCACCTCCAAGTGATTATGTCGTTGATTTTCAACTATAATTACAAAGCAATAAGCATGTCGATTTCCCCTCTCATATTCTCCGTTAGTTAAGCTGACCAAAAAAAAAAACCCACCTAAAAAAAGAAACCGACAAAAAACATAAATATATCAAGCTCTTTTTAATGCCTTGAGGATGGTCTAAAAGTGATCTGGTTCAGATCTTTACGAAGAGTTACCACGAAAAGTCTGACCTACAGTAAAAATTTCGAGTTAAGATGTCGATGGCACAATACGTATTGGAACATCTTGATGGAAAAAATGTTGAAAATTCAATGAAAGTGATGAAACATAATGAGACTATTTAGTAGTTGTTCTAATTATAAATTTACTGAGAGATGAACTGAAAAACAAGAGATCATTGAAGATCCTCAGATTCTAAAGTATGCGAATATTTGTTGGGTAGATTTTCCTCACAACTGCTGATCCATGTAAGTTGTCTTCATCATCATCATCATCATCATCATCATTGCTTCTCTCATCCTGGCTTTTCTCACCTTGGATCAGGGGTGTAGGTCACCAACAAAAACTTACCACCTCTCCCTGTCCTGGGCTAGCCTCTGCTTATGATATCAAAGTTCTGACTTACTGTAAACACATTTTAAAAAGTCACGTCTAATTATACCCAGCCAAATCCAGGAAAAATCAATTCCTCTTTAGTAAACCAAACTGTAAAAAAAAATACAAATTATAGTTCTGAAAAAACTTCTGGAAACAGAGCAGGATCATGGGTAAGATAAAGCACAATACTGCAGACCGGTAGCTTGTCTTTGTATGTAAGCAGAACATGGGCGCAAACAGTAGCATAAACTTTGAGGCAGAGAGTCACAAAATTACTAAACAGCAGGGAAAGATTCTTTTTGGACAGTTTCGAGAAAAGTTTTGACAACTATTCAACACGTAACAAACAAAATTGTTGATCATGCATTAAAAAATAATTTTACAACATCTGGTCAGATCTGTGTACCCACTTGTGTAGTTTTTCTCAACAAAAAAACAAAATCCCTTTCAGGTGGGTGTGTGAGATTTCTTTCTAAATAATCACGCAGAACACAAGTCAATGCATGACGCATATTGTTTGATCATTTCAGCGTCATTCTCCGACTGCGTCAACACCTCTGTTGTACGCACACAACACACCCTCATTCATATACAAGCACTTAGAAATGTGAAATAAACCATATCAAAAACTAACCTGAAGCTCCTGGTGTACAAAATTAGCAAAATCTGTAAGAAAGTTAGCAAACTTCAACAACAGGTGACTCAAGAATGTTTTACGCCCCCTCTACATGAGTTAGGTCATTTAGTAGTAGGTGGGCTGCTTCGACATGGGCTCCAAGGGACACAACAGCACCCCCCCAGCAGACACAGACGGAGATACTGGGACAGCACAACTAGGAAGTCAACACTTCTCAGGTTTTTAGTTTAGTTTTAGTATAGGTTTTACGGCGCTCTCAACGAGGACGATAGATGTTTGATAGGAAAGAAGAAGCAAACCACACCAGAGCACCCGCCAACCATCCACACTTCCCAGGTTTGGCAGACAGTGTTTTTACATCATGGCTGGCTAAAGTCATGGATTTCAAAACAAGTAAATTTACACACAAAAAAAAAGACTAAAAAAAAATATTTAAAAAATAAAAATAAAAAACCTTACAGTACAATTGCACCAGGGATATGGATATATCTGATATGGACAGTCCTTGCAGGCATTAAACAGCTCTCACCTTTTGACACCACACAAGGCACCTTCAAGGGCAGAAGTACCACTGGACTCATCAGACCTGCCAACCACTCCAGAGAAAGAAAAAAAAAAACGACAAAAAAAAGCCACAAAAAAAAAACCGACGAAAAAACCCCCAGAAAAAAACCCCAAAGGAATTTTCCTCAACATCTCCCCTCCCCAAATAGAAATTTAACTCAAAATCCTCCCCACAAAATCTTCCTCCCACTAAAAATAGGAGTTTTCTTCAAAATCCTCCCCCAAAAAATAGAAATTCAGTCAAAAACAAATCAGGAGACTCCAGAATCCCAGTAGAATAAGATTAGATCACATTAAGCCGAGGGTGGCAAATAAACATGTATAGCAAATACACCTACACACAGATAAAAATGTTGGGGGTTTTTTTTTCAATCTCATTTACTAAAATTCTGAAAACAAACATGTATATTTTCACATCTTACATCTTAAGTTGTGCAAATATTGCAAACAAATGCAATTAAAAATGTGTATTTTCACATCATTTTCAATCAGTCTCACGATGCAAATGGAATTCCAAGACAAAAATCAAATTCAAATTTTATGCAAATCCAATCACTAGTCGGATAGCTCCAATTCTAACGGAGTACTTGGCAGGTCTGACAGATCAAAGTACAAAATAAAAACATACGTAAGTAATTCCTCGACAGAGAACCAAGAAACTTCTATGGGCATCAATCAATAAGTAAAGTATCTTCAGTGGGCAAGATATACAATTATGCACAGCTTTACGAGAGGAATCGTCCCTACACAGATTGGAAAAAAAAAAAAAGAAAAAAAAAATTATTAAAAAATCGTAGATACGAAATGTATCCCAGTCATTATCTTCTCCAAAATTAATGAGGCACAGATCTGCTTTAACTTGCAATGTCAAAATCAGAGAACAAGAGAGAGAGAGTTTAAAAAAAAAATTCTACACAGAGGAGTGAACGGTCCCAGGCTTTCTGCGAACAAAGACCGGATGTGACCTCTTGACCCCTCGCTACCACCGTTCGTTTCTTGATCATCACCATTCACTATCATGACTCGATCACATGGAGACGGTTGCCCTTCCTGGCTATCTTCACATTTCCGTTGGCAACCGCGGCACTTCCTTCTGTCTTTTTGAATGAGACTTCTACAGTGGATCCTTTCAGCTCGGCATTCAGCCTGTGAACACAAAAACATAAATTATTGTTATTGGTCTGCTTTTGTGTGATACATGAGCAGTGGTGTACTGCCACTTAAATGTCCCTTGAAGTGCTGAAAAAATTATACTGATATGGTATGGTAGTGCTTGATGAAGCCCACGTGGGACGCTCAATATTAAAAACAATCAGGAAACGACAAATGCAATTTTTGGGACACCTTAATAGACATAAGGGTATTGAACATCTTGCTCTTACCGGTAAAATTGAAGGCAAACGAGACTGGGGTAGGCCCAGAACAACCTACTAAGGGAACCTAAACAAATGGGTAACAGGGAATGATCAGGGAAACATAGTTTTTTTGAGAGCATCCGAGCAAAGCAATGAATGGAGAACCATGATCGCCAATGTCTGTTGCAGATCTGGCACTGGATGATGATGATGATGATGATATGGTATGGTATGATACAGTACAGTATGGTACGATACAGTACAGTATGGTACGGTGAGGTCTGGTATAGTGTGGTAAGGTATGTCACGGTATGGTATTGTACGGTATGGTACCGTACAGTATGGTCCGGTGTGGTCTGGTGTGGTGTTGCATGGTGTGGCGGGGCGTGGAATGAAGCATGGCGTGACATGGTATGATCTGGTAAAGAACAGTATGGTATGATACGGTATAGTGTGATGCGGCATGGTATGGCATTTTACTGTACGGTATGGTACAGTAAGGTACGATATGGAATGGTGTGGCATGGAATAGTATGGTACGGTACAGTTTTGGGTCATGACAGGGTGGATTCAGGCGTTCGTCAAATTTTGGGCACAAGGAAGTATAGGTATAATCTTAAAGCTTGTTCGTTTGCCTTGCTTTTGCAGTAAAAGTACTAATGTATCTTGAATAGAAATCAATTTATTTGTGATTGAAGAAAGCGCAGGTTGCCTTGTGTCGGAGGAAACATTGCTGATTAGGTATACTGACTTACAAAGCTTGAATGTCCTTAGAAACTGCAAATTTACATTTTTTGTGTGCCTGTCATCAACTTTTTTTAGGGGGGGGGTGTAAAATATCACACAGAAAAGTGTTATTAAATGAACATAAAATGTGTTGAACAGGTGGCTGCTCAAGCAGATTCAACCAAACAAGGATTTTTATACTCCAGTGACCATCGAGAGAAACATGGAAACTTACAAAACACACTTGTAAAAAGCCACAGGCATTTATCAACAGTTGCGTAAGAAATTTTAAAAAATAATTAATTGGTCCAACACCACAAGAAATGAACAAATTATGGGAGCGAACAAATCAACAGAAAATAGATATAAAAATCAGAAAGCGAAAATGAAAGTGAATAGGACACACCTTACAAAAACCACAAAAAACCCACTACCAACCAAACCTAAAAATGGAATCCAAAAGGAAAAAAAAAAAAAAAGGAAGGTCTAAAAGTACATGGAGGAGGGACTTAGATTGTGACCTTCAGGAGATGGGATACAGCCAGGAAGAGGTGGAGTGTATAGTCCATGTCAGAAGTATATAGGGAGCTCTCATTGGTGACCTATACTTCGGTAGAGAGTGAAAAAGACTGGTGATAACAGGAGAGAGTATACTATTTTGTTTAAGTAAGAGTTTTTTTGTTTTTTAAAATTTTAGTAGAGGTTTTTCGACGCTCGCAACAGAATTATGTAAATTATGTGCCGAAGATTAGAGGCGTTACAAAAAAGAAACAAGCAAAAAAAAAAAAGAAGGAGGAGAAATCAGGACGATAGTTGTTTGATAGGAATGAAGGAACCAACCACACCGGAGCGCCTGCCAACCACCCACGGAGAGAGTACAAAGTGACTCCGATTTACAGCAATAAATCCTATCCATATGCCCAGGGGTTATTTTGTACCCCCGGGGTTGTATTCTTCATATTTTAGAATACTTCGAATGCAAAGACCTCTTTGAAACTTTCAATATTTCTCTAAAAATCACTTTGACAGACTGCTAAGCAAAGTGTACAATCGGATCGAATTAATGATTAAATTTCCTCTTTGGAAAGTGGTGGCATGGAGTTCCCCACGTCGTATGGATACGATAGTAAAACACGACGTACGGATAGGGTTAACATAGCACACAAGACAATGTGATACTCACTGAGGCAGGATTTGAACCTCTGGGGGCTTGCCCACGTTGTTCTGCACCACCATCTGTGTCTTCGTGACCGCCTCGATCACGTTGCTGGTGTTAAAGATAAAGTCGCCCTTCTTGGAGGCCATGTCGCCGTTCTCCTGTGGGGAAACATCACACAAGAGTACATAATGATTGGTGGTTGATGAAAAACACATCACATAATTTTACATAATGATTGGTCCTTGATGGAAAACATCATACAATGGTAAATTTTGATGATTGGTCGTTTTTGGGAAACACACCACACCACAGTACAAGTTCATGATCGGTCCTTAATGGAAAACACATCAAACAATAGTACAAGATAACGATTTTTTCAGTAATGGAAATCACATCAGCACAATAGCATACGTTCATGATTGGTCATTAATGAAGAACACACCATACAATAGTACAAAATAAACGACAGGTCACTCATGGAAAACATGCCACACAATACAATAAGAATATTGGAAATTAATGCACATCAACAGAATATAGACTGCAAACCTTTTACATTCCAATAACCACAATTTAGCCTGCTAACGTTTTACACCCCCATCAGCACAAATAAGACTGTACGACTTATTCTTTTCCCACCATCACCAACACAATTTCTATTGTAAACATTGCACATTCCCATAACCACAATTTAGAC